CTCCCTTCTCACGCGAGACTTCTACTGGAACCACCAGTATAAGTGGGAGCGCAAGTACGTTCGTATTTACGATGTTTGCCAGCGAGTGAAGCCTGCGCCTCACTCGCAGGCTCCTCTGCAACCACTACCGACTCCGCCGGAGTGTTGGGAGTCCGTTTCGATGGACTTCGTGTTTGGTCTTCCGCGCGATTCCATGGTATAGTGGTCTTTGTGGACCGCTTCAGCAAGATGGTGCATCTCGCTGCTGTCGCAGCGGAGGTGATCTCCGTCCAGACGGCACGTCTGTTCGTCGACATGGTGTTCAAACACCATGGCATGCCCAACGACTCGACTTTGTGTCGGACCGCGATCCTCGCTTCACGGCGCGTTTCTGGCTAGAAGTGTTCACACTTCTTGGAACACGGTTCTCTATGTCGACTGCGGATCATCCGCAGACGGACGGACAAACCGAGCGCGTGAACCGCGTGCTCGTGGACTTGCTGAAAAGCTACGCCCAGTCGTTCCACAACAGGAGCGACTACTTGCCGATGGCCGAGTTTGCCATCAACAGCGCGGTGCATGCCTCGACCGGACATACACCGTTCTTCGTGAACGCCATGCGGCATCCACACCTTCCGAGCACGCTCGGGGTGGTGGCTTCCTCTTTAAGTGGGGGAGGATCTATGGTTGCGTCCGAACAACCGCAGAAGACAGCTGATACGAACCTATCAGCCGCGATGACACGTGCGAGAGCGAGAGCCCGCACACGGCAAAGCGACGTGTCAGTGCCGGGCACTGACACTGTGAAGAACCACGAGCAGGCGACACCTGCTGCGACCAAGGACAATGTATCTGTGCGGGGCACAGACACCGAAAAGACTCACGCACAGGCTGAACCTGTTGCAATCACACACAAAGTGTCAGTGCCGGGCACTGACACCCCAAAGAGCCACGCACAGTCTGGGACTGATGCGACTACAAGTGGCGAGTCTGTGCAGGGGACAGACGCGGACAAGACCAATGATGGACCCGGGGTTCAGCTCTCAAGCAATGGACTTTGTCCACGAACGACAAGCAGTCGTTCGCTTTGTACAAGACGCAATTGCAGCTTCTGCGGATAGGCAGAAGCTGAACGCAGAAAATAATGGAAAAGGTAATACAAATGAATTCCAAATTGGTTCATTAGTTTTGTTATCAACGCAAAACTTGCCTACTCATGCGGTTTCTGGATTCGGAGCAAGTAAGCTTGCTCCGCGCTTCCTTGGGCCGTTCAAGGTGACCGAACGCCACGGCAGCGCGTACACGTTGGAACTTCCTTCCGATATGAGACTTCACCCAACGTTCTACGTCGGGCGATTGAAGACATACGCGCAACCCGAGTCATCTAGTCATGATGACTCGCCGACGACGACGCGCGGAGCGTCCTCACCTTCTCCTCAAGCCGCTTCACCCTCTCCTGGAGAAGGAGAACATGTTATCAATACGGATGCTTGAGGCGGTCCGAGCAACATCGGCCACGCAGGCCTTCTGCAAGAGCAGCAGTTGTCTCCACTC